CCGCGTTTGAATGAGCACCTACTATGAGCCAGGCACCGCGCTGGCTGCCCAGGGGGCGCCCTGCCCGCCCGCGTCCTCTCCCCAGCGACCCCAGATTTCTTCTAGCCTCGCGCCCACTTCCTCCGGGGCCCTCCTCTGTCTGATTTGAAGATATTTATGCTTTTATTTTTTAAAAAAACCCACAAAACTTTTACTTTACAAGAAAGGGAGCGATGCGGGCTGTCCCGCTGCTTGGGCAGCTGTAACCCTCCTGCGCGCCCGCTGTGCGGCGGGCCTCTCGCTGGGGGCGTTTGGTTCAGCACTTTGGAGGGGTCCGGGGGCCTGCACCCCCTGGGAGGGTGTCGAGCGCGCCGGAGGCGGTCAGGGTGGCTCCCCGCTCCCTGCTGGGCCCTCGGAGCTGGGCGGTTCGGGCCGCCATTGGGGCAGAAGTTCACCAGCGACTCCCCAGAAGGAGGAAGTGGAGGGGACCCTGGCGCGTGGTGATGTGGTTACCTGAGCACAGCCTCGCGCTAGTTCTGGGCTTTGGGAACCCCGAGAAGTTTGGGCTCACGTTGGGGCTCCCCCCCTTCCAGACCGGGGGGCCTTTGGCTCAGTCCCTTTATCCTGTTCAGTGGGGACAATGCGTCCTTGTGAGTTGGTGACTGAGGGGCCGGTGCTTTCCCCGCCCAGAGTCATGGCTGCATTCGCATCGGCCACTGGTAGTTCTCTCCCCGCCAGGGCGCCCGCAGGCGGTGCTGAGCTGGGCTGGGAGCACCTGCAGGGCTAAAGAGCCTGAGATGGAGGGGGAGGGGGAGAGGAACGTTAAAACCCAAATGCAACAGGCTAATGTTTTACAAATTATCTTTTTATTGATTTCTGAGAGAAAGGGAGAGAGAGAGGGAGAGAGATGGAAACATCAGTGATGACAGAGAATCATGGATCGGCTGCCTCCTGCACGCCCCACACTGGGGATGGCGGTGCCACCTGGGCATGTGCCCTGACTGGGAATCAAACTATGACCTCCTGGTTCATGGGTTGATGCTCAACCACTGAGCCACACCGGCTGGGCCAGGTTAATGTTTAAGAGGATGCTTTCGTGTGGCCCGAGAGTGATGTTCTAAATGTCCACATGGCCCTTGGCAGAAAAAAGTCTCCCCCCACCCTCCCCCTCCGCCTTAGGACAGTCCTAGGAGGTAGGCACTGTTACTGTGTCCGTTTTGCAGCTGGCCAGAGGGGGAAACTGAGGTCAGGGTGGTGAAGTGACTGGCTTTAGGCGAGGCCGAGTGGCAGGACCGGGACTTGAACCCAGGCCTCCTGCCCCGTGACCCTTCCCGGTTTCTCCAATCTGGGACGCTTCTAGAATGTGGCTGAGTTGACTTATTTTGATTTCCTGCTGAGCGGAGCGCCAGGCTCGGGCTGGCGGGAGACGGTGTGTTAACCTCCAGGAGAGGAACACGGGGTTGCATTTGGCTGCAGCTGTAGTGTCCAGGCGCCTGAGCTTCCTAATTCGAGCCAGCGCTGCTCGGCGGTTTGCGAAGTTTGCGGGTGTTTAAAGAGACACCCTGGTTTTCTAATCGGGGACGCGTCTCAAGTAAACCCGTGACCTGCTGGTTGGGTGCCGGGGCCCTGCTGACCCACAGACACGGCTTGGACCCCCAGCTCTGCTGCTCACCAGCTCCGCGACCTTGGGCCTGTCGCTTGACCTCTCTGGGTCTCATTTGTGCCCAGGAGATAAAGTGGGGTCCTGCCTGGAGGAGGGGGCACGCGTTGGGTCTGGGCAGGTGGGTTGGCAGCGAAGGGAAGTTCCGGGACAAGGTTGGCGGCAAGGTTCCACAGCCGGAGTGCATGTCTGTGTGTGTGTGTGTGTGGGGGGGGGGGGGGGGGGGGGGGATCCAGCTGCACCCATGTGGCGGGACATCTGAATGTGTTGGCACAGCGAAGCCGAGAGCTGGTGGTGTTTTTTTCACTTTATTCATGTTTTTATTTTTAAAGAGCCTGCGTACAGGTAAATAGATCCACCCCAGTGGTGTTCTGTTTGTCTTGCTGTGTATGCTGTTCCCACCTTCTTTTTCTTTTCTTTTGTTTTTTGATCCTCACCCGAGGATATTTTCCCATTGATTTTTAGGGAGAGTGGAAGGGAGAGGGTGAGACAGAGAGAAACATCTATGTGAGAGAAACACATTGACCGGTTGCCTCCTGCACAGCCCCGACCAGGGCCTGGGCTGGGGAGGAGCCTGCAACCGAGGTACATGCCCTTGACTGGAATCGAACCCTGGCCCTTGGGTCCGCAGGCTGACGCTCTATCCAGTGAGCCACACTGGCCAGGGCTGTTTTTATTTTTAAAGAGATCCCGCCCCTCGTCGGTTTTTGGTTTGTTTTGCACTGTGCACGCTGATCTGCATCTTCTTTTTCCATTAAAATTTGGAGATCGGACCGTCTCAGTACCTGGAGCAAATTGTTTTAAGGCCACGCCATCGTTTCACCCACCCCCAGCGGTGGGTGCGTTATCAGTTTCCTGTCTTTGCCACTTAAGCAAGGCTACAGGAAAGGCCTTCATAGGTTTGTTGGGGTTTTTCTTGTGTTTTTTTTGGGGGGGGTGTGTATGCACTTAGACATTTTCATCTGTAAGTTGTTAGAAATAGAATTGCTGCCCGAAGGGCCTGCTCTGTGCATTTTTACATTTGTAATTGAATTATAATCGGTGCCCTTTCCTGCAGGGTAAGCATTGTCCTCCT